GGCTGCAGCGGAGAACCGAGGCAGGACCTGGAGCGTGTGCGGCGGGCCTGTGTTCACATGTGCCCGAGCACCTGTGTCACACGTGTGCACACTGAGCCCCTGCTGCCCGCTGGGAAGCCTGGCATGACCACCCCCTAGCACATGACGGCTTTAGGAAGCGTACCCCACGCACTGTGTTTGCAGGAGGCTGTGCTGGCGGTGCAAGCGCCCCCCCAACGCACAGAGCAGAGCAAAGAACTGTCTCCGCACAGCCGCTCCCGGCTCTCGCCCTAAAAAGAGCCCGGCCTCCATTATGCTAGAGGGACATGCCACTTCCTAGTGGCACCAATGCACAGAGCAGGTGGCCACCACAGGAAGGACTGTAGTCAAGCCTCTGCAGGGACCCAGGGGGGTGCCACACCCACACTGCAGCCCTCCAGAGACGGCTCACGAGGCTCCCAGGAATGTGTGGGCGGCTAGAAGGCAGCTGTGCATCACGTGTGCTTGGCCTGCAGGGCCGCGTCCAGCAGTCCACCCTCGGGCCTCCCAGAGGCTCACCTGGTGGAGGCTGCGCTTGGCCTGCAGGGCTGCATTGAGCTTCTCCTCCTGCTTTACACGCATCTTCACCACGTCGTGCAGGAACCTCTCTTTGGCCTCTCTGGTGTCCAGGCCACCCTCCAAGGCCTGCCGCAGGTGTTCCAGCTCAGCTTCCAGCCCGCTCGGGGTGTCGGCGGGGGCTGTGGCGTCAGGGGCGGCTGCGGGTGGGGCGTGCACACCTGGGGAGCTCAGGTCCTTGGCAGAGCCCGATGAGGTGAAGGACGGGGAGGACAGCGAGGACAAGGAGGAGGTGACTGTGGAGAGAGAGGAGGCGGGTCACACGCGCCCGGGAAGCGGGAACGGGGGAAGCGGGGATGCCGGGTGCGCAGGGAGTGTCGCGACGCTCCTCCTCTGGCGCAGAGAGGGGATGGTCATGCCAGGCTTCACCCCTTCTCTCGAGCAGCGCCGCCGCCCAAGCCATGGGCAGTAGGAAAGGAAGGCCACTCACACTTACATTCCTCTCTGCTTTCGACTTCGACTTCGGCCTCCGAGTCCTTGTCCTCCTCGGGGGCGGCCACGGGTGCCAGCGTCTCTGGGGGCCCGGGTGTGTCCACAGCCAACTTCCGCTTCCGTGGCTGGATGCAGATGGTGAGAGGCTCGGGGGCCCGGGAGACGATGGTGGCGCATGGCGGGCTGTTCTCAACCTTCTGTGGGGCTGGCGGCGCCAGGGCCACGTTGGGGGCCACGGCCGTCTCAAAGCTCTTGTAGGAGTAGAAGCTGGAGGAGCAGCAGGTGTCGGGAGGTGCCTGTGTCCTGCGAGCCCCACCCGACATGCAGACACCAGCAGCTGCACCCAGGCCCTCAGAGAATGTGTGACCTCAGTGGGGTGAGCACACACTCCCAACTCTGAGTCTGGACATCCAGCTTCCAAGGATGAGAACCCACATCTGTCTCCCATGATTTGGACACCCAGGCGGGCAGACACGGGTTGACCACATCAACCCGTGGTTGATGTGCACGGGAGGCTGCCCTGACAGACCTCCACACCTCAGCAACCCCAGCCCACAACGCCACAGAAAGCTCTGGATGTGTCCACCCTGAAGCCAACTGAGTGAGTGCACACTCTGAGGCTGCCTGGACCCAGATGCTGCAGGCCTGGCCTCCCACCTGCAGAAGCCGGGTGGCACGCGCACACCGCCCTTGGCAGCATGCCTGTGACTGCCAGGCACATGTGCCACTCACCTGTCGCGGATCAGGGCTGGGAGGTGTGGGGTGGGCTCCTTCTCGCCCGACGAGACTGCGGGGGACCAGGGCCGGAAGGCGGAGAGGCGCTGGCGGGGATGGATGCAGCCAAGGCTCTGTCGTGAAGAGGCACCGTGTGAGCGGCCCTGAGGCCGGCCAGGCCCACCGCCCCAGAGCCCCAGACCCGCGCAGCACCTTGCTGGAGGAGCTAGCCAGCGTCCGCAGCCAGCCGGACTGCTTGTCCTTCTCGGAGGGCGCAGGGGACTGGGAGGAGGCGTCATCTGTTTTGGGTCTTATGGAGGCCGGGGGCTCGGAAGAGACCTGCAGTCAACACGAAGGCCTGTTGGCGCCACCAGGCCCAGGCAGGACCTCAAGGGACCGGAGAACAGGCGGCAGACCCACGGCACACGCACCCCATCGCAAGACCAAGCCCGCCTCGCAAAGGAGGGCCAGCGAGGCCCTCAGACCAAGTGCAAAGGCAGGGCTGCTGCTGAGGCCACATCGCCTCCGAGAACAGAGTGGACGTTGTGCTGCAGCCGCCCTCGGTGACCTCACCCACAGCTGCAGAGCTCCGAGTGGCCGGCCAAGACCCACTCGGTTTTCACAGCGGCTGCACCTGGCCCCTGGCCCCTCGTCTCTGTCCCTCACTGCCACGTCCTGACCTTGCCCGTGTCCTCGGCGGGCACCTCAGGACACCGCTGCTGAGGAGCGACGTCGAGCCTGCCTGTGCCAGGGCAGGATGGCAGGTGCCCGGCCGAGTGCAGCCCGACGCAGGCTGGCCCTAGTCCCCAGCTGAGGATGCTCCGCCACCGCTTCAGAGCCAGCAGGCAACCTGGTCGCGCCTGCCCGACAGGCGGGATGCTCCCAAGACAGGGCAGCCCCGTGACACCAAGTGATCTCGGCCTGCAGGACATCACCGTGCCTGTACTGCCCCTGCATCCCCCACACTCACCCTGTGTCCCCTCACTGTCCCCCATGTCCCCACACTCACACCGTCTGTGTCCCTGTGCCATCCCTCACGTCCCCACTTTCCCCCACCATCCCCCACATTTCCACGTTGTGCCCTGCATCCTCACGCCAGCCCCCACCTCCTTCCACTCACACCGTGTCCCTGCACCATCCCCCACACGCACACTGTGCGTGCCCCTGCGCCGTCCCCCACATCCTTGCACCGTCCCTGTGCTGTTCTCCATATCCCCAAGCTTGCACTGTCTTCATCTCGCTAGCCCTGCTGCCGGAGGCAGCTTGGGCTGGTCCAGCCCGCCTGGGAACCCGTGTTGTGCCCACCGGCCGCTCTGGCACAGCCCCTCAGTACCAACAAGTGATGCAGCTGCGCGGCTGAGCCAGCCCACGTCCCAAACTCATGAGCACGGGAAAAATCCCCCACCTGGGCGTGAGGCCCGAGACTATCCACCCGAAAGGAGCGGCACCAGGTCTCTACCCACTGAGAAACCAGAGAAGTCTGTGGAGGCTGGACCATCCCCGTCCCTCGGACCCACAGGACGGCAGGGAGGGCCCCGCGCAGCAGTGTCAGGTCTACAGCATGGGCCACGGCAGGACACACCACCCACGTGCAAGCACCCAGGAAGCGGCGCCCTCACGAGAGTCATCCCATTGGCCCTGCAATAAACGTGGGGGCTGTTCCCCCTCAGCCAGGAGCCAAGGTGAGCAGAGCACAAACGGGGGGGCTCTCCCACCTCCAGGACACAGAGGAGACCGCATCCCACGGGCCCACCCACAGAGGCAGGCCGTAGGCCGAGGTCCCCGACGGAGAGCCTTGTTGATGGAGGGTCCTGGTACAGATGCCCCAAGCCTGTGCTGCCCAGCCCCACGGGCCTGTAGCCCAGGCTGGGCCACCCCATCTCTAACCTGGACCCATGGAAGAACGACAAGCCTGTGGGTGTGCTGAGCTCCATGGAGGGCAGTCTTCATCACTGCACACAAACAGCGGACCCTAGGGTCAGGTCAACCCGCTCGGGGGCAAGTGTCAGAGATCCGCCTGCAGACCTGGCTGAGGGTAGCTTTTTCAAAGTCATTCAATCAAATAACCAAGAAAAAAGACACCTAAAACGCCCACTTCGTGTTGCTGCTTTCTAGGGGAAGTAAGTCTCTGGCAGCTGGCGGGGGCCTGACCGCAGGGTTCTATGTCTGTGCTCTGCGGGGGCAGGTGGAAGCCCAGCTGCAGTGGCAGGGTCCCTGCTACACCACGATACCCTCCTGGGCTGGTGTAGGCAGGCCAGGATGCCAGGAGGGTGGGGCTTTTTGTCTGAGCAGTCACTGGGGCCAGCGTGGAAATTCAGCTTGGTTCTCACCAGGGAAAAGCCACAGACCCGGCGCCGTCTGCTGCTGACTCTGAGAAACCTCAGAAATTCTGGGGGGAGAAGCGTCAAGCACCTCCGGCGGCAGGGGCGCATCTATCTCAAGCCACACCCACCAGGGCCCCAGTGCTGATACTGTTCTGCCTGTGCCAGCAGCAGACGAGGCACTGTGGGCAGGGCAGCTCTCTCTTCAGGGGACCCTGTGTGAAGGCACCAAGCCCACGGATCTGGAGAGGTGCATAGGCTGAGGTCCCCCTTGGGCCAGAAGCCCTGGCCCTCAGGCAGCAGGGACGGCTCCTCCGAGACACTGGCCAAAAAGCCCAAGGGACTCGTGTCACACGTGGGGGGTTCTCAGGACGGAGCTCTGTGGACTCGCTCTTCTGCATTTAACTCGGTGCTACGGCGGCAGAGAGGGAATGTAACACAGAAGATGCAGCCCCTGTTCCCCAGGGGACTGTCACCTGGGAATGTCAGTATCTCAAAGCCCCAGGAAGAAGACATTTTTCTTCAAGCCTGGGATACTACTCTTCCTCTTGAGAAGGGCCCACAGAGGTTCTCGTGTCCACAGATGGTCAGGAACAAGTCACACTCAGTAACAGACGTCTGCCATGGCTGGGCCGCCCCCCCCCCACACCCTTTTGGTGTCACTACCAGCCGCCTCTGGTTTCTGACCTCTCGGGCTCAGAACCTACCCACGGAGCCCACAGGATATGCAAGGGGGGAAGGTTCTGGGCCTCAACCTACCAAAGCTTCAAGAGCAGGACCTGGACAGGCCTGCAGGGTGGCGTACACAACCCCGGGAGTTGCCGCCACGAGGCCACTGTCAGCACAAGGGGAGGGGCTGGCTCAGAGACTGTCTTCCTGGAGAACAGGTGTGCCTTTGGAAATGTGGGAACCCGTGCCCACATGTGCCCGCCCCAGGGCAGCTGAGGAGGGCCAGCGCCGGGCCATGGGTGCCCTCTACCCACTGATAGAGCAGTCCGTGCTTGAAGCCCTTAAGAAATCAGCAAAGATGGTCTCAGGAGCCCCTGCTCATGGAGGGAGGAGCCAGTGGCAGGTGCCCACAGGACTTGTAAAGCCACACACTTGCCTGGAGGGTTCCACGTGCATCCGCCTAGGACTCATGAACGACCATGGGGAACTTGGGAACGACGCTCTCCAGAAATGCACCCCTCCACCCGTGGGGCACAGAGACTGTCCTGCTAAACAGGCTAGGGGTGGATGCAGCGGCGTTAAGAGCATGGGCACATCAGGCACAGATGGAGGCTGGCACTCAGGAGACAGCCATGGGGCCAGGCTGGCTGCCAGGGCATGCTCGGCCCTAAGGTGTGCAGACAAGAGCCAGCCAGAGCCTCAGAGGTGAGAGGCGGCAGCCGCAGGAGCCCTGCTCACCAGCCTCGGGCCACAAGTCACACCTGGGGACCCGTTAACCTGAGCCAAGATCCCAGCTGGAGAAGCCGCTAGGATGCAGCTGCTCTCTGAAGGCAGAGACAGCTCCAGAAAGGCCTGCCCTCCGCCACGTCCAGCTGCAGAAACAAGCAGGCCAACAGGACCAGCAACCCGAAAGGCGGCATGAGGTGGGGTGGGAGCGACGCCCAGGCCCCGTGTCCCAGCAGAGACCCATCAGGAAGACCCTCGGGGACCCTTTCCTGCCTGACACATGCAGATAGGCTAGGGCTTAGAGCTAGATTCCGGTCCATCCTCTGGGATCAGGACAGGGAACTTAGGGGTCACAGGGCTGCCTCCCCCCAGAGCCCCGGGCTCCCTGTGGCCCAGTGCAGGCCTCTCCTTCCAGAGCTCACAGGGCCCAAGGCAGGAGACCAGCTTCAGGGCCAGAGCTCACCTCACCCACCTGGTAGGGAGGCTGGTGCCCAGCACAGCTGTGGGAAGATGCCACGGAGCTAGGGCTGGGTGGGACCTGTGCAGATGGCCTTAACATAGGAGGAGCCAGGCCTGTGTAGCCCAAGACGGAAGACCCTACCCGGGTACTGGGAATCTCGCTGAGGTTCAGCTGTCTCCCACACCCCAGCTACCCCCCAGTTTCTGCAGAGCAGGGCTCCACCCCATCACAGTCCCTCCTTCTGTCCCGCCCACCTGTGTGGCCTGAGGTGGGGATAGTCACTGTGGCCACAGAACCTCCGCCTGGTTAACTCGGTTGTAGCTGCTCAATCACTAACTGAAAATGGAACCACAGACCCAAGGTCAAGGCCAAGGCAATCAGATACTGGGAACCTCCGGACACCAGGATTTGAGTCACCTCTGCAGAGTGGGTTCATACTCCCAGATCAAAACAAAACACAGCCACACACAGCCTACACCTGGACCTGCACAGCCCAGCCACTGCCCGCCCATCCAGGGTCAAAGGTGCTGGCAGGCAAGGTCCCCAAAGACAGAAGGCAGTGCTGTAACCGGGACCAGGGAGGGCAGATGTGGAGGTTCCAGGCGAGCCTCAGCAGTGCTTGGTGCCTCGGGCAAGTGCATGCTTTACGAGCGTCATCCGAGGAAGGGCCCCATCGGGCAGCGTGTCCACCTGCAGCCAGAATCAGCAGACACCAACTCCAGGGTCTCCGCCTCACCAGACGGGGCCTGCCAGGGCCTGGCTTCAGGTTTTCAGCCTCCCCTGAGCAGGAGTCTGCACCCTCACTGAGAAACGGAACCCACAGGAGGCCCAGAGGACACACCACGGATGGAGGGCCGAACACCGGCCAGGCCCCATTTCCGCTCAGGCTGCCCTAGGGAGCGGCTGAGGGAAGACCCAGCCGAGAGCACAGGCCACAGCCCACTGCACCCTGAGTGTGGGCAGGCAGTCCAGGAGATGAGATGATGCCTGCCCTGAGGAGGAGACACCAACAGAACCCGCCATGAGGCCACCACAACTTCCTCCTGCCAAAATGCCCGGCAGATCAGAGGCCTTTCTTGTCCACCACAGCCCGTCACCTAGTTAGGAGGGCACCGGCCTCCATCAACCCAGGACCCCGGCATCCACACAGCCCCAGGGGACAC